GTTAAAAGTTTTCAAAAAATTCAAAGCTGACAACAAAAAAGAAGTTAATGGTACATAAAAGTTTCATTAGTATAAAAGCCACGTCATAAAAGTATCCTTAACTCATTACTTCTCTCTAAAAATATCAAGCAAATATCATTATACGAAAAAAGTATCCTCATATAGAACACAATTATTCAAAGTCTGTCGGCTTTATGTAATAAACTATATCAAAACACGATATATATATGATCGAAAATACATCTGATATTATCTATTCTTGTACAAGAACGGAAACAGTAGTAATCAGTACCAATTAGTGCTGTCTGATATATTACCGCGTTTTTTCTGATTGTCGTCTGCTACCAAATTGTCGTATCAGACGCTATCAAAACACGTGCTCGAGGAGTCATATTTTCCCGCCATTAGAACACATTTAGTATCTTTGTAATGGCTTCAGTGCCATGTGTTATTTTGTCAATTTCATTTACAATGTTTTCAGTCTGGTTTACTTATACCTGTTGTATATACAATGTATATGTATATATATCATTCTTTAAACAGTTATAACTTTGAGAACAAAACACATTTGTAAAAATTGTTGCATTTTTTATGATTGCACAATTTTGACTAGTTCAAGAGAAAGTATCAAACATAAGTCAGGAACAAGAGTAAAGAACTTCTGTTTGAACAAAGTCACAGTATCATGCAAAAGGACATATACAGCTTTAATCCACTAAAATACATTGTAGTCAATAATATTGTGTATATATTTATTTTTACTCTGCAGAAAAATAGTTCGCTGCTGTTTGACATGGTTTGCTGACACCCCTTGCAGGGACAAGTGACCGCTCCCTTAGTAGCTACACTTCCTGTTACTAAAAATTTGAACGGTACTAGTTAAACGTTCGACCGGTGCGCAATCGCTACTTTATTATCAAATTACCGCTACTTATCATTTATTACATATATAATACTATTGTAACGCATTTACAACTGAGTGTAAAAAGTTGTGTAAGTTGTGAAGACATTAGCATTTGAAGTTTATTTCAATCTTAGTTAAATGCGGAACTATCAAATTATATCATATTTATAGTATACTTCCCAGTAATAACCTACTGTAAATAACTTGTCAATAAAATTATCAAAATGGTTATTTCACTGTCGTCGCACTTACTTACGCAATTTGTCTCCAAATGGAGATAATTCTCAAAATAAATATTATAACGTCAAGATATGACGAAGTCGTGAATTCACACCACATCGGCTATAACATTTTCAATCGCATAATTATACGGTCGTGGAAACTTTATTCAATTTAAGTGCTGTCCGTGAAATATTCATGTATTTCGGTATGATTATGAAATAAACAAAGATAAATTGTTCGTAAATTTAATAAGATTAAAGTCGTATTTTTTCGTATTATGATTAAGGTATAATGTTACAAATGTTTGTTTATAAATCTAATGACAAATCATTTTTAGAACGGACACTCAAATGATGAAGACCACACGATTTCAGCCTATTCCAACGGTCTTTTTAATGACACAGAGCGCTGAGGACATAAATATCTTTAAAAAAAGACTAGACATAGCATCTGATCTAATTGAGGTTGGCCTGGTCCCAATAAATAGCATAACAATAACCTTTGAAATAACTGCCAACACAAACGGCATCATGCAAGTCATGAGGAAGTAATTACGGAAACGTGATCATGCTGCAGACGAGATTTTCCCGCGCTTTTTTTATTAGTAATGGACCAGCTACGTTTATTACACATCATGATTTCTAATTCAATTGTTCAATATAAGCTATTTTAGAAACCATTACTATATATATATTTGCATGTTTAACAATGATATAAACATTTTTACACGTCACTATATGTTGCTTCACTAATGTAATCTTCCGGGGAAAAACATTTTAAATAAATTTTCAAAGAAATCAAAGCTAAAAAAAGAATTGTTATCTGTATAAAGTCTGACTGTTTAAGCGCTTATGAAACAATTTAAAATCAAAATGTGAACAGGTCTCTAATGTTGAATCCCATAACCGAGCAATCATTTATTATTTTATCATCTTAACTTGTGATAAAGTTATGATATACTGAAAAATTAAAAACCTTTAACCTAACATTATCATTAAAAATGTGAATTACTGGTTTGGTGGATTAAATATTCGAGACAGTAATATTACAACAACATGTGTCAGATCATTTAGCTCATTCTTCTAAGTAACAAAAATGGCCAATTACTCATTTCTTTCAGATCATTACCGAGACTGAAAGACCGTGATCTTATGTAAATCACGTGATGTCGTGAGCACGGCTAAATCTCATCTTAATTAGTTGATTGTTTTTTAATCTCAATTACACATGTAATAAGTACGCGTCTGTGGAATTCAGTGTAATAAAATACATATGAACAAGTTTAGATTCAATTAACTTGAAACCTAACTACAAAAGAAGAAAATGAATGTGAAAATAGTCTAGTCAGGCCTTTTGTTAAGTATTTTCTTGTTCAAATTTGATAGACGTATCTAAACAAAGAGACACTGGTGTAGCTGGTTTTAAAGTGGATGAAGTCAATTTGGCAGATCAAAAATTGAACCGCAGTTTATTTGTAAATTAATACACCAATTATTTATATAAGCTGCCTAAAATATTTAATGGCTTAGTGCAAACCGCTTCTTTATCATTTCTTTAAATTGGTACATTAGGTTTTTACACCAAGTCCTTAGAACATAGAAATCGAAAAACAAAAATATTTTGTTAAAATACTTGAAACTTTGGCTGTGTCTTTTGGGTCACCCTACGATTTGATAAACAGTTGAGCAGTTGTACTGTTATTTAAAAGGTTTCATGCTTAAAAAAGAGATATAAAATTATGAAATATTTTAATAAGTATAGAATAAACATATTTAGAACAATCTTAGTTGTTTTTAAAATCATCGTATTACGTTTATTTTTCTTTGCTGGAAATTAAAAAAATAATTGAAACTGATAAACTGCAGTTGTTCACAATTAAGTATGAAAAATCAAATTCTGTAATAAACATTCTTTTAAAATGAGTAAACTTAATAGGGAAAATGAACATCATTTCAACGGTCATTTATTTCAATTATTAAAAATGCATTAAAATCACCAATAAATAATTTATTAAAAGACATTCAGAAGGTATTAAGAAATTATGTTTGAATCGCCCACTACAAATAAGTTAAAAACTATCATCGGAACATTGATTTCATATGAGTTATGATAAACAAGAAATGTGTTGTTTTTTTCATCTATTTGTAATCTGATACATAAAAAACGGATTTCTGTGTTACAAGATCCACAGTAAACAGGCATTTAATACCGGTTTATGTGGAAATGAAGTGAGCTTGTGCATGGAAACATCCAATGCAAGAGTTAATCTTTTGAATAGTTTTACAATGCACATCTCCCTCCTGTTACATAAGGTGTGCTTCCTAAGTCATGTGAAAAAATGCTGATCTGCTTGCAGACAGTTTGCAGTTTTATTTCAGTAATTAAATTTAACGGTTGTTTAAGTGTTTGAATCCCGTAGTAGATTCGAAGAGATTTCGTTATATGTTTTTATTTCAGATTCTTTTTAAGAGAATTTGGAAATGATATTAATTCACGGGTCTATACTTCAGTCATTTTTTTGCTACATGTTGTAAGATATTCTTGAATACATATTGAGATGCTGCTTATAACGGTAAGTGGTGGAAATTATTTATTCATTTAAATCGGACAAAATAAATCTAAATAAACAATATATTTGTTTCGTGATAACAATTAAGGTAATGGTAACCATTAAAGCTGCTGCAATTGAAAGTGATCAGTCTTTGTCACTAGCATAGAGCCCGGTCAACCTGTATATCCGCTTTGTCTGAACGGTCTCTATCTTGTTGGCTGGCCAACTTCTTTATTGTCATATTTAGATCCCTCAATAATATGACAGACAAATAAAAGAAAAGGCAGCTAGACAAATCTAACAGGGTATGGTTTGAATTAATACGTTAAGAAATCACCTGTATAAATAAAAAGACGGTACAATATGATAGATTATGTAACAGTGATCATTCTATTACTATCTTATTCGAATCCATTAGCGAAACATTTAAACAATTGAGCCGCGTCACGACAAAACCAACATAATGGGTTTGCGACCAGCATGGATCCAGACCAGCCTGCGCATTGGTTTTGTCGTGATGAGGCTCAATTTTTAAATTAATCTAAACAAATGACTTAATGCACGCATTTCGATAATGCCTTTTTCAGATCATGATTATAAAATCACTGTGTAAAAGAAACATTTTAATGTGTTTATATAAAAACACCTTTATCTCAAGACAATTTGAAGGGGTTTTAATACAAACAATTCCAACTTTTTTTTATTTTTTCAAGAACTTTAAGAGTAATGTTTTGTTTTTTACCTTGAATATGAAAAGGGCAGCAGAAAGTTGGTGTTTTTTAAGTGATTAAAACAGGGTTACGTTTTACTTATAGCACACAATAGTATTGGCTAGCATATTTAGAAAAAGAAGACTTTAAAGTACTATATCACTATCTAATAGTTGGTGCAAAAATCAAAAGTTAATTAGTTAAAAATATAAAAATGATTTAAGAAAAAGAAAAGCAAATTCACATACATGTAAACTTACGCTCTTTCTTAATTACGCTTTGTAATGTTATAGTAAAACATAGTGATTATATTACTTAAATAGGCTTATGAAAAAAACTTTCGAATATTAAAATTTTCATTCTCATGGCCAAGTGACATCTGCATCCGTAACAGATTTGATATCAAACTATCGTCTAAAATATCATAAAAATCATAATAAAATGTAAAACACTTCATTGAAAATGTAACAAAACATCTGCACTTAGATACAGATAAAATCACACAAGTTGTAAAACCGAAGGAATACTATGCGAATCACGCATAAAAAATTGAACAAAAAACCTAGCAGCTATCTCATGCACCGGGATATTAAACTATGAAAATGAAACATACCTCTAGTCGAAGATTGCCGATTGGGGGACTCGCATAAGGAATCCCGAAGAATTTTTCCACAATTTTTTGACCATGCACATATTCAACGACTCCTTTAACTTTACCATAGTCCGTAACTCTAACCGAGTATTCCACACTGTTGACAAATTTTATCACATAACAAAAATATATAATATACTCAAAGGTACAAACTAAACTCGTCTTAAATTTCATTATTATATTATTAATATTTCCTATTCTCTCACAATTATTTTCGTCACCTTTTACTATTTGAATTATTTGACACTTCAGTAACTCGTATACACTCTAACAGTTAACTATAGTTGAGAACCGTATAGATATACGGAAGGAATAAACGCTCAAACAAGACTAAGCTGTTTAAATATATATATGTAATATATATATATACTTCCACGTGTATTAACCGGTTATCGCTATTATATTGAGAAGTTGAGACCTGAGCTCACCCCCGGCTTTTACAATAGAGATGTTTTCAGCAGATGCTGTAGAGAGTTACGTTACATTTCCCTCATCAACTTTACTAGTTTCCAATCACGAAGTAGCATCGAAAGGTTCTGTCTTCTCTATTCATTAGGAATGTGCTGAACTGTAGGAATTCCTCAATAATACTAAAACGCTTTGGGAGGAGTAAATTGCTGTAAAATTGATACAATTTTCTTTGGTTTAAGATATTGGGAATAAAGTTTTCGATATTTTTCTAAATCAAAATTATCTTTAAACGGTTAAGGCGTTCGCTTTGATACATTGGTGTTAAATTGTAATAATTTTCATCGGTAAAATGTAGTACTTGTATGTTTTGACATTCTGTCGTTGTACGACGATAATAATGTAATCTATTTTGTGCTGTTTTTATTTGTATAGATCAATGTTATTTGATTAAATAAAAGGGTAAATAAATAATTATTTGGGGAAAAAATAATAAATAAAATTATTCATATAAAAGATTTTATTGAAGAATACGTGAAAATTGCAATTTACGCTAACAAGCAATATGGCCAATTTACGAGATATATTTTGATATCTAATATCTAAAATATTTTATGTTATGTAGTTCTTTATTGTATTATCTCTCAGCATGTACAAGAGATGTAAACGTGTGGTATGGCATGATTGTTACGGATAGGACCTTTCTAACTGTTGGCCATTTTCTTATGTGGCTTATTCGTCAGAGTTGACATAAACATAAAATTTCAATTTTTTGTATAGATCATGGAAAGATGTGCAAAAGAAAAAAAAATAAATAAACATACTCGGAATAATATTGAAAATTCGCTTATTGCTAAGGTCTTTGTGCGATTCTTAGCTCGTTTGAGTTTTTCATTTTTGGGGCACAATGAAAATAAATTTTCTGGAATTCTAGAACAAACGGATGATCTGAAAATTTGCATAAAGGTTAGTAGCCCAGACCTGAAACATAAATCTCAACAAATGTTTCCAGTCCTCAAATATACGTTAACAAAATTACATTTTTATCGGCATTTAGGTCAGAAATAATTTCAAACCAAAATTTTTCATATCTTTGATGTTGAAAATTTTATCGGTCTCAAATTTGTATCGGTTTACATTCTTTTTAAACAGTTTAAAATTTACGTTGTAATAAAGGCCAAGTTTGGCTTAAGTTTATCAAAGTTTGCTCTATGTTACATTTGATAGGAGATAAAAGTTGGCTTAACGGAGACTCACTACAACAACACTGATATGATTGTAGCACGATGATTACGGAATTAAAGTTTTTATACAAAGTCTTAAGTTACGACATGAATGAAATACTTGTTTTAAATAACAAATACATGTATTTGAATGTAAAAGGAAGAAGAAAATGACCGTTATGCAACGAAATAGTTTATTTTAAACTGAAGTATAAAAGATTTGTGAAAATGAGTTTAAAAACAATATTTCTATTTCATGAGTGTACCTGAAACGATTTCCGAAAAGAAAGAGAAGGGAGTTCGGGTTGTTATATTGTCACACCATATTTAATTTCGTATATATTCTATATATACCACAATAATTAACAAGAAAAGCATTGATGCAAAGCATCAAAGGGCGTCCAAACAGTAGGTGCAGATGAACTAGTAGATATATGATGACAAGATATTCTTATAAACTTTTCAATGGTTCATTGGTTTTTACCAGAATTGTATATCACTTTTGAATGAACGGACGAAAGACATTGTTCATTATTTATAACTTTGATCGGCATGCTAGAAATTAGAATATTACTTGTTATTTCTTTATGATCGTGGTTATTAATAGCAACGGATATACATGTATACAATCATTTATAATCCATATGTGTAACGCATGATTCAACACCATACTTGTGTAATTGTCCCTTATTATGTTATTGCTATTAACGAGGACCCCCTCTTAAGGTATCTGTTCACACTAAGTAACAATATGACACTTGTTATATTACCATGTTGATCATGTTGAGCATAATTGTTTATTATACAATAAATGTAATTTCTATTTTAATAAAACAAAAATACAGATTTTATGAATATTGTTTTTTTTCTTTTTTTGTGTGTGTTTTATGCGCTATTTTAATACTGAGTTTTTACGTTTACTACTATTTTAAGAATTCAATTGTCATAATGATCGACGATTATAAGTCAAAACTTAACTGGAAAAAGTCAGTAAATCATGGTTAATCTTTCAATTTATAATATTGTTTATTCTTAAACCATATACATGTACATTTGTATTTTTCTTTATCATTTTTTAAATTATCAATCAATTGAATAATTCATAAAATCTGATTGGTAACTTTGAATAATTCCTCGGAATCTTTACTAAACACGAATAACAAATTATATAAAATGTTTTAAAGTTGATAGTGTCATATTAATGCCATCAAAATGTACATTTTTTCTCAATATTATTGTACATATTTATTGTTTTTATCTCATATAGATAAAATATAACATGCGATTTGTGTTGTTGGTTTTTTTTTTCGAATTGTATGTTTATGTATAATAATAATCAATCAATTCGAGAGTTGATCTGTGTTTATTAATTATTGTAACCAAACTAAGTGACAAACATTCATTTTGAAAAAAAGCTTATTTATCTGTAAAATATTTGTTCTGTTCTGTAACGATATCTACTCCAAAAAACCGGGAGAGACCGGACAATAAACGTGTGGTACTATTCGCCGGTCAATTAGTAAATTCCGGGAGAGACCGGGAATTACCTAGGAGTACATCCCTCTATAAATAGATTTTCGGAATATTAAGGTCATCAACTCATCATTCTATTAACAGCTTTCGGAATAACATACCATAATAACCCACTGTGTACTACAAAATGATAAGCAAAAATACCCCGAAGAGCGCGATTTATTGACGGAAAAGGTTATTTCATTTGAAAATGTTTGCATTGCGAAATTCTCCAGTTCGCCATTCATTGTACATATCGCGACTAATTAACAATCAAGCACCCTCATACCGATCGGAATGATCGGCTTTTATTATTGGCAACTATAAAAGGCTCGAGAAGTTGCTGTCGCCCTTTCACAAAATCTCATTTCATTCCAATAGGCGCCGCGCTTCGGCGCGGACGCCAATCAATGTAAATCAATGTAAACCAATCGCTATTGCTGGTCCTTACTTTTTATCGTTCTTCAGCCAATCAAAAACATTCTAACAGACTTCAGCTCAGCCAATTATCATCATGGTTTCAGACGTTTGGACCGTAACTTAACCAATCAAATTTGGTTTGATATTAATGTATAATGGGTGAAATTATTTTACTTAAAGCTGCATGTCCGAGAAAACATTTTTTTTTGTAAATTCATTTTCTGTTGTACTATTATCCGATGTTATTTGAATGTCAATTTTCACGTGCTTTATATACATAATCAGTATATCTGGCATGGACGGCCACGTGATTACAATATCAAATGTCAAAATTGGTAGCGTAACATTTATATTTGTGTTTCAATCATTCCGATGTACGGGAAAAGGTTCATATCAATTATCAGATATCATTAAATAGACATACGAATTTTGAATTTTTAGATACATATTAATTCCACTTTTAGTACCCATCAAGAGATAGACATGATGGCCCTAGATTGCTCAATACTGATGTTTCTGAGGAGAGGGTGTTTAAATTAAGCAAGTTATTATGACAAAGATTACACCAGTGCGTCACAATTTCGGTTTGGACCTCATGTACATGGCCTGTATAACTTCTATAGATGTATGCAACATGTCAACCCTTTAGCCATGCAGTTTTTCTTTTTAAGTATCATTTGTGTGTGCTCTGCCTTGCGCCCTGTTCTTTTTTGTTTAGGATCCTCCAGGGCTCCTTGTCGCTGGTTCTTGTTGCTAGGTCGTTTGGGGGTTGCGTTCATTGAACGTCGCCTTTCCTTGTTGATCTTGTTTATCACATTTTACACAAGTAGATTCAAATGCATTTTCGTTTATACGTTTATAAAAATGCGTTTTCGTTTATACGTTTATAAATTAAGTAAGTTCATACCGAATTAATTTTGTCGATAAGGTTTTATAACGTTTTTTTCTATAATACATTGTAAAATTAAGTCCCCTAGACAACGAGGGCAATTTTGACCTTTAAACTTGATAGAAGTTACTATGCAGTGTTACATACCAAATAGATAAGCTATAGGCATTGCAGTTTTGGAAAAGATGGTTTAAAAGAAATCAAGTGACTCCCGAGCAAAGGCAAGTTTAAATCCCTGTTTATAATTCCCGCGAACATGGATGAGGTCTGCTAGACAAAGCTACGTACCAAATGTTTTAAGTTTTTGACCTTGTAGTTTGGGAAAAGAAGGTTTTGCTGTTATTTATTTATTTATCTATTTATTTTCTTTTTTTCACTTTCGTTTTTAAATCTATTTCACTTTTTAACTTCTGTGGTACTGATATTTAATAAAACAGATCCATTTGAACAAAATTGTTAGTACTACAAGTCACCGGTTGTCATAAAAAATAACAAGAAAATATCGTAAGAAATGAATGGTATAAAAATGCAAACTAAATTTATACAATTTATACATGGGATTTTGTAACACCAGAGGTTAGCCAGAATCATCTTTCCTGTTTTGGAGCCATGTGACCTAAATTGTGGTTAAACCAAACCAACCAACAAATCAACCAAATAAACAAAACAAAAAACCCTTATGCAATTCGGAGGCGACGAGGATGATAGTTCTCTACATACTTCAAATAGTCAGGCTAAATTTGGTTCTCTTTATTTCTGTTTGAGAAGAACTGCACTGTCAAATAGAGAAAATAAGAATCCCTTAAGAAAGTCCAAAACGGCTAAATTCAAAATATTGCAGGCTCGGTTTAATTAAACCTGTTCATGGACGGTACTGTCAAGTGCAAACTACCGTTCACGCCCCCTGGCACCGGCTTAAGCAGAATTCAACATTTAAACACAAAATGGCAACATTTTGAATTTAGAAACATCCACAGACATGTTCATACGGCGGTTATCATGGAACCTTCAATGTGACAAGTAGTGTAGGTAGTGGCAATGTATAAGTAGTCTTTGATTGATTATCAAGAGCGCAAGGACATTAACGAAACATCTGATCTTGTCTTACATACCCTTTT